TGAAGCTGCTTCAAACATACTAAAACAGGTTTCAGGAACCTTTTTGGAGTGAACTACCAATTTTAATATTTTATTTGATATACAAAATCGGGAGTTGTACGTTGTAATGAGCAAACAACGGTCAGAGAATCGACGCATAGAATCAATATATTTTTACAATAAAAAATAGTTGCAATATATTAAAGTATTTATTTGTTTTTTTTTTCATAACTATATGAATATAATGGGTAAATATATACAATGCCACTGGAAATTAGGAAAAAGTGCATTCACTTTGAAATTTTCTCTTATGTACGAGATAATGATCTATTTAAAAGTATAATAAAAAATATGTGTAATAAATGAAAAAAATATTGTTTAATCACTCACATTTTTGTGTTATTTTTTTGTATGAAATTCTAAACATATACATTTTCCTCCATTAACTTCACAAAGCAGTGAAATTACTTTGTACATTTTCTGGATAATGTGAATTTATTTTATATTTCAATATTTTCAATCTACTTGTATATCAGTTGTAGGCAAATGTATACCGTAACATAAATATTTATTTCAGCAGTTTTATTAATATATTTTGCATTTTATTTTTGTATTATTGTGTATATAAATATTTATTTCAGCAGTTTTATTAATATATTTTGCATTTTATTTTTGTATTATTGTGTATATTATTTTAAGATATTGTGGTGCTCACGACAGCCCGTTTATATGTCACCTACAAGCCCGATACGGTGCGCCCCACTCCAGCCCGTAGCTGGTATTCCGGGAAGGTCTGATAAGAGTACTACTTGCAACATATCAGTAACCGCTCTCTTGTCTCTTCTACTCTCTTCCTCTACCCATTTTCTTGTGTCTTAATATCATGTAAGGTTCTCTGCATTATCTCGTGTGTATTCTCTGTGTTGGCTCTCGGGCCTCGGACTCATTATACTGTAAGAACCCTTTGTATTCTGTGTATCTCTCTGTAGTGTTACTATCCGTAATATACTCAAATAAACATATAATCAAGCATCTTCAAACGTTAATTACAATAATAAAGTCATTATTTGTACCTAAGTTATTATATTTTATATTCATTTTTTATTGCAAAGTTCAGTGTTTTGCAATCTTATCACACTTGAACAAACAATTCATTTTCTCAGACGGAATTTTTATTTTCAAAGCGAAAAATATTTTGCTCTTATTTGTTTTTGTCAGTAAATTTTTCATTTTTTTTTGCAGAAATTGATGAATTTAAGTAATCGTATTAGGCTTTATTCGAATAAAAACAGTAAAGAATGATGGTTTTTATTTGGCAGATATTTTCAAGATATTTAATGAATTCTATATTTAGCTTCAAATAATTAATTTGTTTAATTACAATTACCTCAGACTTGACAAGTTATAAAATAGCGGTCAGGCTTTAATGCTGTTAATCATATTATCATTAAACAGAGAAACAGTCTGAATATTTATGAAAGAGAAAATCTTTGTTTTTATTTGATTTTTACTTTCAAGGATCTCATTAAAAATAATTGAAAGGAATTTCATTAGACAATTATAACTTTTATAGTTTTTATATTTAATTTTCTTTGTCTTCAATTTAAGCAGCTTTTGCACTGTAAAATTCTTTATATTATAAACATATAGAAGGTATTAGTAAAAAGATAAAACTGCGGACAAACACAATCTGTATACACCACAAAATTGATGATAATGAAATGGTTTATTTATTACAAATTATTTTGTTACATTTTGTATAATTAATGTAAATTCTACTCTTGTGTGAAAAGACAAAAATTGCAATAAATGCAAAGAATAAGATAAAATAAATCCAGAATGCAAATGGGAAATTAACATAATTTTGATATAATGAGATCTAGCCATTGACATTTTTGTAGTTCATTTGTATGGAGTTCTCATATGAGAACATCATAATTTAAAAAAGTTTTTCAATTTTTTTTAAATTCATCCAATAGAGGGTTAATATAATGCAGTAGATTGATTTTATAAAATTTAACAACATAAACACGTTTTATATATAAAACATATTAAAAATATTATAAGCTAAATTACCCTAATGGTTTAACATCATTGAATCGACGTCTTTTAAAGGCAGGTGCTTCCTAGGAAAAAAATATTTTAAATATTGTCTTCGTATAATTATAGTTTATTTACGTCTTGTTCATCTTCATTGTAGAGAGCTGAAATTGATAATTGATTAAAGTATACTCTTTAATTTCTCTTATACTCACGATCCTCATGATTACGGCGCCTTAGTTCATCATCTAAATCAAAAAATATTAGTCTCCACACAATCAAGAAAGTAATACCTTCACTTACTTTCATACTGAAAACATTGCTGCTTAGAGAAGATGACGACAAGGAATCTGAAAATTAAAAAGACAATATTTTAGGATGTTGGTAAAGCTAATAAAAAATCACAAAATATACCTCGTCGTTAAGATTATCAGTATTAATGTAAATTTGTATTATTTATATGTATTAC